GAGTCCAGAGAATTGACCTTAGCAGCAATTAAGCCGCTTAACCCCCAATGGTCAGAGTCATGCTCGCAACGCTAACACTCCCCTTTCTCTACCCGTGCCTCCACCATGCAGCCAACCACCTCCGCCTAAATCCACATAAAAATTTTTAAGCTGCCATTGCTCTCTAGCACAGCCCCTCTACCAGCCACACCCCTGCCCACGGCAGCAACCACTTGACAAATGGAAAACTGGCACCCAAACTTCCGGCTGTTACAGCCTGCAGTTTGTCAGGCAGCCGCTCTAAAGCTTCAATTTGTTTTCGTTTTTGGCTTTTAGCTCGTTGCGAGATTTTCATGAATTTTATGTAACGATCTCTCGGCCAGCCTCCTGTACTCCGCCCGTTCAGAGGAGCTGCCGGCATTGGTTTGAGGCGTGTCGCACGTTGAAAAACTGCATCGAATTGCAAATTCAATAATAGTTGTGCGATTCGTTCGTGGCTGTTTTGATTTTTATCCAAGCAATCGAACCCCCTTTACCCCCTTTGGCCAACAGGCCCCCCACACCTCACAGATTATTCATATTTTCCCCGTGTGTGTGTGTGTGTGTGTGTGTGTTTGCCATTGATTCGCCCGTTAGTTTTAAGTATGGCAAACGAATGCGGAACCAAGTCAAGCACCACAGCGCTGGGGTTAGGTGCTTGTCTAGGGGCTGGGATTACCAACGTCTCGAGTGCGTCACAGTTATTGCTGGCTGGTGGGTGGCTCTGGCATGCACTGTAATTGGTTCGATAATAAATACAGCAATTGATTTGTTTTTCTTTTTTTATCTCCCCCCACACACAGCTTGGATTCAGATTTAATTAAAGGCAAGGTGTGTTGAAAAGAGAGGGTAAATGCATAGGAAATCAGTAGCAAAGTGATAAGGGAAAGCGTGACCCCTTTTGAGCGCAGGTCGTTGCCACACACTTGTGAGAGCACTCAAATTGATTGAAGTAAAATCCTTGCTGGATATTGATTAAGTTAAAACAGACAGCTTAAATTAATTAAAATATATATTAAATAAGTAAACGTTTTCAATATTAAATTATTTTTAACATGCCGCTTTTCAGATTTCACACACATCATGCTGTCAAATAAATGACATGTAATTGTTTTAAGACCCAGAAACTATTTTTGGCTTGTCATTCAGTTGTCACAGAGCATCTCGAACAATCTCACATGAATGCTCTGGCCGAGGGTATTAAAGAGCTGTCATGAAATGTGCAACACATTCAAGCGCACTTCTTCGAAATCATAAAGTATTATATGGCACAGTACGAGTGCTGGTAGCTGGTTCAAACCATGAACTGACCAGATTTTGCGAGCTTTTACTTCTTATGATTACATCAATTCAACTCTTCGATTTTAGGTTCGATTTGGAAACTGGTTTTTCACAATTTGAACTCTAATCAAAATTTACATCTATGTAATCAAAAATACATTTTTGTTGAAAAATCTTTCTTTTTATATATAATGTATAATAATGTTTTTCTGCAAATGTATGTAACAGGCAGAAGAAAGCATCTCCGTACCCAAAAAGTATATATATTCTCGATCAGCATCAATAGCCGAGTCAATCTAGCCAAGTCCGTCTGTCAGTCCGTCCGTCCGTCCGTATGTATAAACGCAAGGATCTCAGAACCTATTAGAGCTAGAGACTTGAAAGTTTAGATGTAGGTGTTCCTAGTGCCTGCGCAAATCGAGTTTGCTTCCTAATAACTTACTCCGTTTCCAAGCAGTCGATAAAAATCGATATCGATATCCTGTTTTTTGGGCAATTTTGGTAAATAATAAGAGCTAGAGTAACCTAACTTGACATATAGCTTCTAAAATAGAATATATATATATATATATATATGCATTTGATGTTGGAAGAAGAAGGTTCAGGGTATCCCCTAGCCGGGAGCTCCCGAGTAGAACCTCTTGTTTTAATTTATTTTTATTTATGACCCATTTGTGATTGTTTACTTTCTAGCAATATTTAAGAAACTTCATTGATATAGAAATTCGTCGTCTTTCCAAATTTAATTTGTTTAAAAATCTCTTTCGTTTTTCAAGCTATCCTGGCTTAACTCATACAAAAACTCCTTATGCATATTTATATCGCAGCTGCAAGAGTATTCAATCTTCGGCATACAATTTTATCATCAACTCATCTGCTTTATAAAACCTTTCTTAAGCATCTTAAGTCTGGCGTTGTTCTAAGCGCTAAAAATAAAGCCACAAAGCCCACTTGTCATGGCCTAAAAGAAGCCCCTATACCACACTCAAAAAAAAAGGAGCAGCACTAAATAAATTCGAATGCTACGCCGCATACAAAAAAAAGAAAAAAAACAAATGCCAGGCACGTTGCTCGCATTTATCAAGCGAATGACAAAAACACAATCACACACACACAACAGTCATGTGTGCTAACAAGAACAACAACAACAATTGGCACACCTTCACACCCACAAACACACACATGCGCAACTACACACACACACACACACGGAGATGAGCCTGTCGCTGTTGACAAAGAGTCGAAAATTTCAGTCACGCGAAAGGATTGAAAGTCATTTGATGTATTCACTGTCATTTAAGTTGCCGAGCTGATAAACTGACTGATAGATAAATACATATATATGCACATATACACATGCATGTCGGCTGATATTGAATCGAATCGATGGGGGCCTGGCCCTGCCAATAACAATTACAACAACAACAACGAAACGCTTTCAGCTGTATGCATATAGCAGTAGATAAACCCAAGAATCGGCAAGTTAAATGCATTTAAGTGACAAGGACGATGGCACTAGGAGTCGTCTGCCTTATTGACATGTGTCTTGGCCAAGACAGACAGATCGACAGACGGAACGTTAGTTGTCGCAGCAACTCAATTATATATACACACACAATATATATGTATATATGTATATATATATAACACATATGTGTGCGAGCGGAGATAAAATTTAAATCTGCGCCGCATGTTCCACGTGGGCAACTTGTGATTTATTGAATAAATCAGTGGGATGTTCAACTTCACGAGTTCTTCAAATATTTATCAGTGTCTGTGTGTATGTGTGGGTGAGTGCCTGTGTGTGTGTGCGTGTGGTTTTGAAATTTATGTGCACAGGTAAATAAAATGTGCCTCCGCAGACCTGCTGAAAGCCGCAAGACGAGGCAATAAAAAAAGTGTAAGAAAACTGTGCAAGTGTGTGTTAAACATTAAAGAGCACATTTTTGAAAAAGAATTTGTGTGCACACACTTGGAAGGATTTAAAAACATGTGCATACACTTATCGACAGAGGAGGTACAGAGCTTAGCTCCAAGCCCCTATTTCATCATTTTAAAACCAGAAAAAAAAACGAAGACCTAAGCCCGAAAATCCAAAATAAAAGTTTGTTTTTAGATAAAAAACTTTAAATAAATGCAAATTATAATTTCTTTTAATTAAAAGCTTTATTTTAAATTATATAGTTTTTGTTTTGGCATCTGGATCAACAAACCTAATCAGAAAAATCTTAAGAAATTTTCACTTTAAAAATATATATATATGCAAATGATATTATTTTGTAAATCAGCTGTTTTGCAGTACGAGCAAAACTATATTTGGAAACATTTTATTTAATATTGAACAACAAAAGCTGCCAGGCCGAAGCTCTTATTAAAATGTTGCCTTAGGCATCTATGAAAACCAATTGCACGAATTTCACAAAGAGCTTGGTTCAAGCCCTAGAACATGCTTTGTAAATTTCATGCTTCTGCCTTGAAATAGCCCCCAAAAGCGGTTCAATTAAATTTGCGCCAAAAGAGCACAAATAATTTGATTAAAAAAAGTTTTATAAATCATATTCTCTGCACGTTGCAACCTTTAATATTTAAGCCTTGTCATTAAAAATTAATAATAAATGTTATTTTAGTTTTTGCTAACTGCATTTGGCAAATCGCATAAATTTTAATCGCACCGCCTTTCAGTGGCATTATATTTAATTAAGGCTAATTAAGAAAAAATAAATATATATTTTCGAACGCATAGACATATAATCGTTTGCAATATATGCACATAAATAAATATTGTTTTTTATGTGATTTGTTAGCCTTCCTTTTGCCCCCGCAAATTTATTGAGTGCATTAATTTTGCGATTATGTTTGACATGCCATTTAATTACTTAATTTTGCATATAATTTTGATTTCATATTTGATTTTAATTTATTTTCTCTCGAATTTTATTTTGAACTAATTCAGCTGCACCTGATCAGCTGGATTAAAAATGATTTCGCTGATTTCAATCTATTTTCCAAACAGATAAACCTTTCAGAGTGCATCACGTTTGTCAATGCTAAACAAATTGTTTGCTAATTGAACTAAATTGTTGATATGTTGCCTTTCGTGTCGACTAGCATGCGAGTATTTCGCCTGAATACAAAATATTTGCATACGTTTGCTAATTTATTAATTTAATAACCATTGCCAACCAAATGTTGACTTTATTTCATCAATCATAGAACATCACCTTTACAATTATATTTATGTTATTCAAGATTTCATCTTTAATATAAAAGGTTGAGGTTAAAGATGTAGATTACATTTAAAGGGAATTTTAATTTTATTAAAAACAAGTCGTTTAACATATTTTAAAAATGTTTTTGCCATAAAAATAAAAAATTTGTAAATTGAAAATAATTAAAAATATAATTGGACCCTCTTGCCAATTTTATTTTTGTCATAGTTAAATTAGCTTAAAGTCTAAACGAGTTAAAAAACTTAAGAAATAAATTGTTTTTTATAAAATGTAAAAATTGGATATTAATAGAGATTTACTATTACTTCAAGCAATTGCATCGACACAAGAAAATTATTTAGAACCAGTTTATAAATAAGCAGAGGCTAAGCAAGTTTGAGATGTATGAAAATCATTTTCCATGGAACCCTAATATGTATAATGATTAAAAGATCGTAAAAATAGCTGATGAATATAGAAAATGGAACTTACCAATTGCCAAGGTGAGAAGAAACGCAGTTCGATAGAAAACTTGAAGAAACCGCATGTTGTTTATTTTATTTGTTAGTAAATCTGCAAGAAAGTATAAAGAATATTCAAAATATTATAAATAAAAAGAAGAAATTGGTAAAAATGCTGCCCTCACTTAAAATTAGTCTAGCCTAGCATAATATTATAATTTATGATATGGCTAGCTATGGTAACAAGAAAGTCAGTTTCGGCTAAGCATTCAAAATGCTTGCTAGCCCTTGGTGTGGAACTTTTGTTCAAAGACCAATAAAACCAGAAACAATAACAACAAAAATGGGTTGCTTAATGCGTTAAACTTTTGCTGCAACACGTAACTCAAGTTAGGCTGCAGTTGGCGGTGCCCCGAATGGGCTTCTATAGTTGGGAGCAGCTGGGGCAGCAGCTACTGTGCGACAGCACCTGGACAGGTGTGGCAAAAGCGAGTTTGTTGTTGTTCCGCAAAATATTGAAAGCAATTTTGTAATCAAAATGAAAAAAAATAGAGGAAAGAGCAAACGAACAAGTGGAAGAAGAAAGCTTTATAAAGTAATAACTATAAAGAAAACTGCAGCGATTTAGCCAAGCGCCCAAAACACACACACACACACACACACACACACATTTTGGGCTAAAAGTTTAACATTTTAGACGAGAGAGCGGCAAGGGGGTTGACTTAACGAACCACAAAATGTTGGGGCAAAAAGGCAGGCGTGCTGTAGACTGCACGACTAGCAGATACCCTCTTACCGTGCAGAGAAAAAGTTATACAAACATTTAAAATACAGGCATGCTTAAAATGGATGATATTATTAAATATAGTTATCAGGCGATAAGCTTAATAAAATTGTTGCAAATATTTGTTGGGTTCGGAGTCCTTCTTACTCTGCAACATACCCCATTTGAGACATATTATGGGTATACAAAATAAAAAGTGTGCTCATATGAGAAATATTCCACATTTAAAGTTGAAAATCGGATTATTATAATCCCCTTAGCTCATTCTGTGCAGAGAGGGGCATTGCTTTCTCTCTCTCTCTCTTCTTTTCGACGCATGACATGTTGTAATGTTTTGTGGCTGCAAATTGTATTAGAGCATGCCGAGACCCAAACTCATATGCCTGGCCCAAAAAATGGAAGGGCACATATAAAAGAATTTTCGAGTATTTTTGGCCCATTAAGCTTTGCAGTGCCCGCTTTTAATTGCTTTGGCTTCATTAACAGCAGCTGTGAGAAGAACCAAAGAAAAAAAGGCAACAACTTTTTAATTTATGCATTGACAAACTTCGGGGTCCAAAAAACAAACCCTGCCGCCCATTGAGAACTAAGTGGTCAATGGGCTAAGACAACAGCAAAAACAACAAGAACTGTGTCTGGGCAGTGCAAGATAAGCAGCAAAATGCAATCCAGACACAAGAGTTTCGCACAGCTTTGGGGCGTCAAGGGTTAAAAGCGGGTCACACGTACTACTCGCAAAAATTGCATACAGCGCAGAAGAGCCGGAACCTTTTAATTGGTTTTCGGTCAAACAGTGTAAAAAAAAATGTGGAAAAAAGCACAAGATTTTTTTAAAGCGTTTCTTCGAGTTGACTTTCCGCTAACTGCAGCTCGTTCTCGTTCTCTCTGGCGCTTTAGACCTTTCAAGGGAATTGCCCTAACTTAAAACGACGCAACTTTTAAATACCCGGAGTCGCTGGCAGTAAAGTTAAGCCAATCGCTTTGTTGCAAACAACAATTTTAACATTATTCTAAAATATTTAAACAATATTAATGTTGCATAAAGTAAAACTCAATAAATGTAGGATCCTACGACTTCATATAGCTAAATACGCACAAATGGCGCAAGCCGTTTAATAAGTAAATATATTTAACGTATTAATAAATAACTTAAGAAGGGAAAATATCAAAATATATATATACTTATATATTTTAATTTAAGAGCAGGCTAACTTCAGCAAACTTTTAACCGAACCGCACTGCAAAAGGATGTGAACTCAGAGGTTAATTGGACAAGGCAAATAATATTAATTCGACAAAAACAAATAGTATAAATATATCTACTACAGATTCTGTAGAAATTATATATTTATTAGTTGATAGGTTTCTGGCGAAAATTTTATTCAAATAGGTTTCTGCTGCTCAAAATCTGTATGCTCTAATGCCATCAACTATATTTTATTAACATATATTGACTTGGTTTTCTTTTTCTTTTTAACTAGCTCAAAAATGAATAATTTATTTATATAATCATAAAGCTATAAATGAATATAAAAAAAAGAACAAATATTATTTAATAATAAATAAAATACTATATAAATGATTTTTGATATTATTAAATAACACTTACACTGTTTATATCTATATAATATTATTAATTTAATATTATTTAAGAATAAAAAAAAATTAAATTATATTATTACAATTAATTTTTTATTCACATGCATAAGTTGATTAGCTTTTATTCAAAATATTTGTAATGAATAAATGTTATTAAATAATAAAATATCTTATAAACATTTTTTGTTGTTATTATTAACAAAAAATATATATACTTTTTATATTTATAGAACATTATTAATTTTGTAATACATATGTACATATGTAAATTGATTTGCTTTTATAAAAAATAAATATATGTTATTATTAATATATAATAATAATATTTTAATAATTGATAAAAATGTAAAGCTATCAATTTATAAATGCGAACACATGTCTTTTGTACAAAATGAAAATAAAATGTTATCTAGTAATAAATGTTTCGAATTTAATTTTTAATTTATTTTTTTCGATTTCAATTAGTTTACAATTTTATGATATTAAAGCAAGCAATAACAATTATTATAGCAGCACAAATGTCAAGTTGGAAGCAAACACAAATACACTTTCAAATATAAAAGAAAGATAAGATAAGATATGATATAGGCGAAATTAATATTTGAACAAAGGGGTTTTAATGATACAATAATAATCAAATAAAAATTATAATACAATATTAAATATATATACAATAAGCTAAGAAAATTTTAATTTATATAAGGCATATAAAATAATAAAAGAAACAAGTAAGAGGTTCTAGTCGGGAGATCCCGACTAGGGGATATACTGAACCCTCTTCTTCCAACATCAAATGCATATATATATATTCTATTTTAGAAGCTATATGTCAAGTTTGGTTACTCTAGCTCTTGTTATTTACCAAAATTGCCCGAAAAACAGGATATCGATATCGATTTTTATCGATTGCTCGGAAACGGAGTAAGTTATCGATTATCGGAAACAAACTCGATCTGCGGGGAAACTAGGAGCATCTACATCCTTGCGTTCATACATACGGACGGACGGACAGACAGACGGATATGGCGAGATCGACTCGGCTATTGATGCTGATCGAGAATATATATACTTTATGGGGTCGGAGATGCTTCCTTCTGCCTGTTCATAAATTTGGCTTTTGCACAAATACAGTATACCGTTATACCCATTTTTAATGGGTTCAGGGTATAAAAACAATAATAAGAATAAAAGTAAGTAATATGAAAAAAAAAAATAATTTAAAAGAGATATACATCTTTTACACATAATAATTAAAATTTCTATGTAGTTCCTTTTTATATGCAATGAAGTTTATATTCGATGCTTTTCTGGCCAAAAATAAAAGTATGCAATTCCTAAATTATTTACCCATTACAACTCCCAGCACCACAGGAATTTTCCCATGCCTGTCGCTCGGATATTACTTTGCGAAAAATAGATGGGGAGGAAAAAGTAAAAACTACATTGAACCTCGTTTGGCAGAAAGGCTTAGCAACTTGCACTCTGCTCTTATTTTTATCTCTCTGGCCATATATTGAAAATGGCAACGAGAAAAACTTTACAAATTTCCAGCGTAAATGGTTATATACTATGGGAAGGGATGGAAAAAAATCGAGTCGATTCAAGTGTGCAACTTTTTGCGATGCCACACACAAACTTTGGCCAAGGGATCCCACATATCAAAAGTTCTTTGGGCAAATAGAACAACAGACAGACCTTTGGGCGATTGAAAAATATTTCCATATGTAAATTTACCAAATGTTATTCTTGTTATACCCTGTACTAGCTGAAAAATTGGTAAACAAAATGTGCGCTCTGCGGTTTCTCTGTCTCTGCCAGAACCTCGACCCCGTCAATTCTATTAGGTATTAGTTTATATATTATATATTTTTAGAACTGCATCAAATGCCGAGTCGATGCAGTCTATGTTTTTACAAGTATAATGTTATATGAGTACATTTAAGGCGGCTTTCATTACGTTCGTTAAGCATAGAGAGTTAAGGCTAGATAGAAGCTAGAGCTTTTGATATTGTAAACAAGGGTCAGAGTATGGAGCTGCTTTAAAACTATCGAAAAACTATAAATATAATCACTTAATTATTTTTTGTATAGACACAAATCATAATATCACCTGTAAGGCCCGAACATTTCAAATGAATTGCATAAGAAGTACAAAAGTTGTGAAAGTGTGCATATTTTTGCAGAGGAGAACAGATGGAAGTCAAGGCTTAACGCACAATTCCAATATCAACATTTCTTACATTTTTTGCGAATGTGAAGTAAATTGTTTGTCTTCGCCCCGAAAATCGCAGAATGTAAAGTATGCCGATGTTACAAATGTTTAGCATAGTGGAATTGGGCTTTTAGCCGCTGCGTAAAGTGCTTGTAGCATAGGGATTGGAGCGAGGGTTTCCTACAGGGTAACTTTCAATAGGGCACTCTACATTTTTGTTGTTGTTGCCAACATACACAACTATATATGTATCGATATATATGTTGCCTACTTGCATTTCAAGTGCAACAACAACAATAAATATGCCTGGCAATGCTGAAGACCAAAATGCAGAGAAATCTACCTACAAAATTTGCTGGAATTGTTGTTGTTGTTGTTGTTGTATATTTGGCTGCGGTTGGCAGCGCCGTCGCCTGCAAAATTTTGTGGCATGTGGAAATTTATTTCATAATCTCAACAGCAACAAGAACCGCAACAACAACTGCAGCCCAAGCCCGAATAAAAAAAGAAGGAACGG